CTGTACAACGTATATTCTGTTAAGTTTTCTGTTAACTCGAATTTTATCCATAGGAGAAAATTAGAAAAAAATTATTGAAAATATGTTTACGAGACTATATTATAAGTAGATATGTGCACAAGTTATTTTTGACGGGTTTTTAGGACATTCAGAAAAACTGTTATAACATGATTACTAAAAATCATTCTGACTTGCGAAATGTCTAATTTTGTAGATAAATATTTGATATATCTATTTATACTAAACAAAAAATAAAGCATACACTGGAAAAAAAGATGTGCCGAGAAATGTTCTATTTAGAAATCACTTTTTCAGGAAATATTTTTTGGAAAAATTATTTCTAAAATGACGTATGAGTAACATTTTCAAAAGTATTCCACACTGAAACCCCTTTGGAAATGTTTCGTTTTGAAACCGATTAGCCGAGGAATACTTTTAAGATTGGCTTTCCATCGAATTTTTTTTGGAAAAGACTCTTTCAACGTGCTAACTGATACGGCGAATATCAGATTACTTGTCTGGTTAATTTCGATTTCTCTTGCCAATTAATGACAGATCGATTCAAGATAAATCTGACATTACTTTTTTCACAATCATTATTCTTAATGTATCATAAGATCTTAAACGTTTCCTGGAAGATTTTAGACGCCATGAACGTTAATAAACTTTCACTGTATCGTGGTTTTGTTAATACTCTGATAGCATTGCAAAGTAGAACAAATCAGGCCGTCATCTGCAAGTAATTCTTTAGTGTTAGTTGCTGCTATTTGTTCCCAAACACTAGATCGTTGGTCTCAACCACAAACATGTGAAAAATAGGAACCGCGCGTTTTAGGTACATGTTTTTTCATAATGTAAAAGAGAGAAGTTTTCTTAACTAATTGCTGAAGAGATATAAATAGTTATTGTGTACAGTTAGGGTACTTTAAATTGCTCATATTTGTATCACGATTAAATTTAAACTTTTTTCCTTTCAAGAAACACGTAGAGAACACATTTGTACAGAAAAAATTGAGACATTTTGTAAGTAGGGTCGATTCTTGATAACCGCGTTACAATTTTCCTAGATGCCAGTGATAATTATAGATGAACGAATAAGGCATATATATTAAAACAAAATAAACTATTGATCGTTTATCTGAAGCTGATGGAAACTCGAAATCATCTCTTTTCTCTCAATCTGTAATGATTATGCCATGATCAGAATGGACTTAAGTGAGAAAGTACAGTGAAAAAGAAGAAAAAACAAATTTTCTTTAATTTTATTCATTCGATTTGAGAAGTGTGTGCAAATATTCACACGGCAGAGGTTTGATCACACTAACAAAGTTTGAGACGTATGCGGTGATTATCACATAAACAAATATTTCCAGGACAATAATAGATGAGATAAGTCCTACATTTTGATCAGAATTGGTCATCCAGGGAAAACAATAAATATCTTATTCATATTCTTAATTCCCAATGGATGACTTCAAATAATTTAATGATAATTTGTCTCTATGGTATATTCTCTCTCTTGCATGAAACATACGGATTAGTATAACCAACAGTTGAAATGTTGTCTTAAATTTTTAATTTGTTGATGTTGTTGATTTGACGAAAAGGATACGACATGATGTATGTGTTTGTGTAAGATACTTCAACCACTTGAATGTTCCGACGATCATTTTTTCTTGTCTTTATTTTTTTTTTCTATCCATATCTATCTAAGTTATATGTTTTCAAAATGCAATTGTCATGATAGAAAAAAGATGAATAACATAATCGTAAAATGGAATATTTTGAACACGATAGTGGTAGTGGTATTAGTAGTAGTAGTGCCACAATAACTACTCGGTAATCGTCTTTGAAAGAGGATTTCCCTATTTTTTCTTTTTGATTGCTTCGTGTTGAACTAAACTCTAAATATATATATTAGTGACAAAAAAAGAAAAACCGAAGAAAAGGAAGGTTTTCGAAATAATATACATATATCTATAAAAAAGAAAAAAAAATGAAGAAAGAATTACATAGAAGATGCAATCGACTAGAAAAGAACGAGAAAAACATTTGCATTAAGGAAATCTCCTTCTCTCTATCTTTTCTTCTATAAATATAGAGAGAGAAAGAAAGAAGAACAAAAATTATTAAGAATTTCAAAGAAAAAATTATATATATAAAAAAAAAGAAAGAAAAGTAGAAAAAACATGCATAAATAATATGATCAAGACGAACAAAAGAAATTGTCTTCTGTTTTTCGATTTGATTTGTTCAATGTGTAGTTGATCATCATTAACAGTTTTCCATTACTCGTTATATAAGAGATCATTGCATGTTTTTGGATACATTATACACTTTGCATGTCTAGACTCTATCATCATTATTTTAACTTTTGTACTCAAGGTCAATATACTTATCAAAAATTAAAATAATTCTAGGTCAGTCAGAACTGGTTTCTTATTCTATATGTTTCTTTACTAGTTTTATTTCTTAAATAAAAACGGAAAGAACCTCTCCTCTCGTTTTTTTTCTTCTTTCAAGTGTATTTGACTTGTAGCATTTTTCCTTCTTGATTGAACAACAAAAAGAAAACCACTTTTTTTCCACTTGAACGATATTCATACGTTTTTAAAATATATTACAGAGATGAGATGAACTTTCTCCTGTTCTTTACTTAGTCTTTTATACCAAAGATATGATGATAACAGTGAGAAAAAAGAAATGCTTTCTTCTCTTTTACTTCTTAGAGTGAATGATTGATTTGAAGATCTTTATAATCATTCTATCACGAGATTTACTAGGTATAAATGTCAATAAAAAAAGAATGAGAAAAATCATGAAAGATGCGTAATTAAATAATACTTTATTGTTCTTTTTTATTTATTATTTAATCAAAAATGTTATTGTCGGAAATCAACAGGTAGCACAGTTATATTTAGCATGTTCAGTGTAGATTCTCATTCTTTTTTTTGTGTGTTCTCCTATGGGTCATATTTAAGAGCTCTCTGTCAATAAATATATCAGATAAATGAAATGTTAAAAGACTTTTTAGTTAAACAATGATGATAGATCTGCATGAGTTGAGAAAAAATGTAAGCCCAAGCTGATTCAAAAAAGTTGTTTTTTTTTCACAAAAAAAATGTACAATCATCTGCTCAGAGAAAATCGTTGTCTATACACATTGTATGATTTGGCCACGTAACTCTGCTATCACGGTGTGATTCCATCATGGTTTTCCTGTATTTTGTTTCTCTTACAGTATTCGAACCAAATCACTTCCAAGACACTAAAACATATTAAATTGAAAAAAAAAGTATGCTCAATATTTTGAGATGTTCTCGCGCTCCGCACCCTTTTTTTCTTCTGGAAATATTGCAAAAATACAAATTACTACTTTTTTGGGAACGTGTAGAGTGCGGTAACATCTCAATATATTGAGCACACTTTTCTTTTCAATTTAATATGCTTCGGAGTTCTGGAAGTCGGTTCGAATACTGTAAGAGAAACAAAATACAGAAAAATCGTGATGGAATCATACCGTGGTAGTAGAGTTACGTGGTTAAGTCGTGTAATATCATTTTATTCTCGCACATTTTATAGAAATTTTTTTTTCATTCTTTTCTTACAAAACATCAAACTGCTTGAAAAAATTACTGATCTATTTTTTAAACTTTTATTAAAAATCCCACGGTATCTCTCGAATCAGAATTGAATCGTTAACGTAACGTCAAACTTCCACTATTTTGCTGGTATTTGTTAAATATTCGTTCCACTGTATCCTAAAAAATTGAATGTTTTTCTATAAACTCCAGAATAAAAGTTTAAGTAAGAATTTTTAAGTTAATTGTTTCTTACTTATGCATAATGTGAAAATTTGTCTTACAGTTTAATCAAATTTAGAAAGAAAAAGCTTCATATCAAACCAAATATTTAGGATAATAAACTGTTTTAATCACATAGATTCAAAGAACGTGAATGCTAACATGAACTGACACGGTACTCTTGAAAGCGCGTAAAACAAATCCTGTACAATACACCTTCCTTCCTTCCTGTAAGAAACAATAGACTATCAGATTATACTTTTGCAACACCGCCAACAAATAATATCAAAAACTGAGACTGTGAACTTTGTTTTTAGAGTATTGGCTCATAATATAAGTTTCCGTTTAAGAAAGCCCTCTTTCTCTCTCTCTCTCTCTCTTGCTCTTTCTCACTCTCGCTCTTTTGGATGATAGGAAATTAGGATAGAGTGTATGTGTATGATATTTTTCTGTTCATTTCGATTAACTTCCATCATATTGCATAAAGTGTATACTCACTTTCACTTTTACACACTTATATTAAAACACTAATATGGAGAATTTAAAACTATATAGGTTTTGTAATTGCAATTTTTCCTTTTCTTTTTATTACCTTATCCATAAAAAAAAATAAAAGATATTATTTCAGGATGTTTTTAAGGCTAAAAAATTTTTAAATTCCTTATCACAATTAATCAAGATCAAAAACTACAAATAATATATAAACAAAATAAATTTTTTTCATCAAGTGGAAAATTTATTTTTATAAACATAATGAATTTTATGTGGTTTTTTCTTCGTTTTTCTTTTTCTTTTTTTGTAGACAAAAAACTCCCAAAGTTTATTATTTTTTCTTTTTCTTCTTCTTCTAATAATACTTAATTATATTTTTTTATGTAGTGGTATCAATGAAAAAGTGTTTTGTATTTCTATATAATTTTATTATCGTATTACTACCATCATCACTACTATCACCGTCTACTTTCATTTTCAATCGATGCAATTTTATTACTATTATTATTATGATGATGAACAAGAAGAAGAATGTATTATCTAACGGCATGATTGTAATAGATAAAAATAATGATGAATTATTATTACTTTCGACTAATAATACTACTAATCGTATTAAATTTCGTTAAAAAAAATTTTCAAAATTATTCAATAATAAATAAAAGACATATTTTAACGATAATAATTAATTCAATTATTATAATTATGCCGACAAGTGTTAAAAGTTTAACAGTTTATAAAAGAAATGTCTATAATCATTATTATCATCATCATCATTCTTATACATCAGATAATGAACTTATTCGTGAAACATCCTACGGTCTTGTAAGAGGACTTGAATTTAAATTTACCGTTGGTGGTGATACATCACATATTTTACATCGTGTACACGCTTGGCTAGGTATTCCATTTGCTAAACCGCCTATTGAACAAAGACGATTTCGTTTACCTGAACCACCAGTACCCTGGACAAATATTTATAATGCAACTCAATTACCAGCAACATGTTGGCAAACAGAACAAATTGTCTATAATTTATCAGCAGAAAAAATTTGGTCACCAAATACTGTTCGTAGTGAAAATTGTTTATATTTAAATGTTTGGGTACCTGTTCAACGATATCCAAAAACAAAATTAGCCGTACTTGTATGGATATATGGTGGAGGCTTTGTAACTGGAACAGCTAGTCTCGATATTTATGATGGACGTATTTTATCAGCATTAAACAATGTGATAGTTGTATCAATGCAATATAGACTACAAAGTTTTGGTTTTCTTTATTTAGGAAAGCCAGATGCACCAGGTAAAAAAAAGAAGCAAATTAAAGATTCTACGATTAATTGAAAATTTTTAATTATTATTCGTAGGTAATCAAGGAATGTATGATCAAGTACTAGCATTAGAATGGATTGCCAATAATATTCAAAATTTTGGCGGTGATTCTAAACGTATAACATTGTTTGGTGAGAGTGCTGGTGCCGTATCGGTTGGATTTCATTTACTCTCACCAAAGAGTCGATCATTATTTAATTCAGCTATTTTACAAAGTGGTGGTCCAACGGCAAGATGGAGTTTTATAACACAGTCTGAGGCTTATAATCGTAGTAAAAAATTTTTACATGAATTCTATTCACTTGTTAATAATCGTTTACTTGATAAACCATGGGAATCAAATAGAATACCTGATGTCTGTAAACAGAGTAATACAGACGATATTGAAATACAATTTCAATGTGCCCTTCAATATCCAGTATTAGATGAAGAACATTATGGTTATACTTGGACAAATGCCGAATATACAATTCAAGATGGTGGTCCAGTATTTTTTCTATTAATGCCAGTTATTGATGGAACATTTCTACCACAAAATCCCATTACAATGTTAAAAACAGGAAATTTTAAAGTATATTATAATATCAATATAACATAATTAAATTTTATTGATAAATCAATATTTTCTTTTTTTTTAGAAATGTCCATTATTGTTAGGTGCAAATCGAGATGAAGGCAGTTATTTTATGGTCTATGCGACGGGAAATGATAAGGTGAGATATGAAAATAATCTAATTATATATTTTATTCTATCATATTTTTTATATATTTAAGGTTCCTGGTAATGCTTTACCAGATGTTTCTTATTCAACATTTTTAAAACATTTAGAATTATATTATAATTATATTCCTTCTTATCCTTACAAAGGTTATTATAATTATTTATCGTTATTTTTCAACTTTTATTTGAAAATATTTTAGTCTTTTCTTCTTCTAAATTTTTTGAAGGACCATCGATTGTATTAAAAAGTGTCATACAAAGGTATACAGATTGGTCAGATTGGACAGATAATATTAAAAATGCCGTTAGATTAAGGTATTGCATGTAATTGTTGAATAGAAAAACATCATTTGTCTCATCATTATAAATTCTTACATCAGTCAGAATATTATTATCCAACATACATACACATAGTATTATTTGTTTTCTTTTTATTTTTTTGTCATGCTGTTGGCGATTCACATTTTACCTGTCCCACAGTTACAATGGCCAACACATATTCCGAAGCATCTCAAGATGTATTTTTCTATTATTTTATTGCACGTCCATCTGTATCTGATTGGCATCAATGGACTGGTGTTATGCACGCGTAAGAAAATGAATAAATTTGTTTTCTATCAAATTTGAGTCTAATCTAAATTTTAAACGATAATTTAGGGATGAAATTATGTTCATTTTTGGTGAACCTCTAAATCATACAGATCAGAAAAACTATACAACAGAAGAAGTACAATTAAGTAAACGAATTATGTCGTATTGGAGTAATTTTGCAAAATATGAGTAATGAGAATTTACATCAAATATCATTGATATTATCTAATTCTTTATATAAATTTTAGTGATCCAAATGGTAACGATACAAATATTCCATATGACTGGCCAAAATATTCTTATCCAGCTCGACAGCATATTGTTTTGGATACAAATAGTAAAACTACAGGAGTAGCATTACGTGCAGAATATTGTGCATTTTGGGAAGAATATGTTCCAACTTTATTAGAAGAATTTGGTAAGTGATATAGAATATCGTCTGAACCATTATTGTTGATTATATTTATGAAATATTTTTTAGAAAAGTGTTCCACAAATGGGCCTCTCGCAAAATCAAATACTGGCAATAAAATAACAAGTTACGTTCTATGCTTATATCTTTTACTATTTCTAAAGTTTATAGAAGATAAATTGAATTATCACATTTTATCGTAGTTTATTTAAATAAGCTCAAATATTTTTCGAGTTAATTTTGCGATATATATATATCTTCTATCAATTTTTATTCTGGTTATACAATTGTAGATAATCTTTTCATGCAATTTTCAAATACATATCATATGTGTTTTTCTTATGTGCTATAAAATTAAAAAAATGTTTACTTTTCTTTCTGTACGCAGTGATGTTCATTTTATTCACGTCTTTTTACAATACTGTGCTGCTTTTAGACAAAAAAAAAAACAAATTCTTGTATAATTTTTGTGTGAGTAGAAAATGAACAAAAGAATTTTAAATATATAGTCGCATGTGTATGTGTACATTCTAAAAAATTAAAATATTTAGTCGTTTATTTAATTATGAATACAGCCCGACATTTTAAAAAAATTAAAATATTCATAATGGATGAAAAATGAATGATACAAGTTAATTGTAGTCTGTACAATTGAATACATTGGAAAGATTAATATTTAATGTACAGCAACATTCGTTATATTTTGACAATTTATATTTTTTATTTTATACACAAGGATGAGAACAAAAATTTAATTTTAAAAAGGTTAACATATAAACGGTGCAACCAACAGTGTCACATCCAAATCAATAATTATTTAACAAACAGATATACTTACAGATATAGAGTTGGCCATTGTATTTCGGTTGTGATAAGAGTGCATCTATCAGATTCAAAAATATTAGCCTCTGAAAGTAAACATTCAGATTGTTGTTGTTGTTGTGGTTTATTTTCTATTTCTTCATTTGACGACCATGATAATACATCGTCATTCTTTTCATTATCAACAATATATTCTGGCTCTTGTTCATCATCTAAACAAACGAACTTGTACTTAATTGCTAGAATTCTTAGTTCGCGAGTTCATCATAGTCTTCATGAACTATAAAGTCAATGATATAAACGAGCAGAGAAAATTGCCTTTACGAGACGGCAGTCAAGCTCTTCTGCACTAAGTTCTGGTAACTCTTCAACTATTCTAATAAATCCCCAGTGTTGATCGACTTATCTGCCTTAGGAACAATATGAAAACGGTGAGGCTCTCATGCAGGATGACAAATTACAATTTGTTGCGAATTGTTTCCTAAATCATAATGACCTTAAGTTCGCCAAAAAAGCGAGCAGTGTACTATATATTCTATACTAATCACCTATTTGTTCATCTTGGATAGGTTATTTTATATGTTCTGGATGCTTTTAGTGCTCCTAACCGACAGCTAGTTCCTGGAGGTACACCGAATGAGTAGAACTGTGCGCAGAGTACACAGCAGTTCATACAAGATGCCTATCCTTACATTATCATTACTAAATTTGAAGATTGATGCAAATAATCATGTTTCATATTCTCAGCCTTCCATATGAGCGATAAACTAGGTCAACTACTGTACCTTTAAACAGGCTCATCAAAAGATAATGGTGAAACAAAAATAAGCGCTGGAGGTAATTGAGGTTCGATATTAGAATTTAGTGATGACGACTTTATGCGGTATTGTTGGGATTGATATTGTGGTTGTTGAGTATTGGAAACAATGCTCACTCGCTCATATAAAGTTCGAAGTGTTCCAACAAGACACATTTCTAAAGAACCAAAAATGAAATAACTTTTCTGAAAAACATATTCGACATAAATTTGTACCCGTCACAAAATCATGAAACGTTTCGGGAAGCAGTAAACCAGCTTTTTCTAATTCTAGAAGATTGTTTGTTTGTGCACGTAATTCATTAGATAAACCCAGTCGATCTAAGCAATCCAGATCATCAATAAGCTTAAGTTTTCGATCGAAACTAAAAAATACATCGTGTCTATGGATAAACAAAAAGAAAACAACACAATATGTTGTACATTATTAAATACTGGAAGAGCATACGCATTTTCTGGTGTGATCGTTTCAATATGGGTACCATTTGATGTTGTAAAACCAAAGAATGGTAAACAACAAATACTATTTAAATTTTCGTTTGAAGAACGTTCAGATTGCGTTTGATAAGTTTTCTTAACGCTGCTTCCTGTGCACACAAAATCGATTTGTATAGATGAGAAATGCTTGTGAAGCATTATGAAAAATTATAATGTCAATTCGATTCTATACAATGGCAACCAGTTTTTCTTCTTAAAAGAGATTATGACGAAAAAGAATCAAATTCAATGTACTCAGATGTGTTCTATCCGCAAAACAACATTTTCATTCCATTTTCCTGTGAAAAATTATAGGATTACTATAGTTTTCGTATATTCTGAATGGAATTAACTAACACTGATAGAAAGAGCATGAAAAACGGAAGAAAATGGGCGCATTTCTACTCTGACAGCCATGAAGCTGTGATGATCTGTTGATTAGTTTTCTGCAGAATTTTCGAGCTGCAAATTTAAGAACGCTTCAAAAGAAACATGAGGTAAACACTCTTTTCTCGTTTTCAGCGTGTTGAAGAATATTGAGTACTTTTCTAGACAGAAATAGACTTTAAGAAGCTCTTAAACACTTTGAATAATTGAACGACGATTACAAGTTTGAAAAGAAAAATTTCATCTTATTTAAGTGATATTTCTGAGGGAAAAGTGACTTCTGATTTGTAACGGTTGTTAACTTATTCAAAATGTAAGACAAAGATTTATATTATCTTTAATAATGATTCTTCCACTAGATGAACTTCTTCTTGAATAGATTGCTTTAATGCATTTATTTTATTTTAAAGATGAATATCGTTAAAAGACAGAGGGCGGCTCTGATTGCTCTTACACTTACATCTAATACCTCGCATTCAAATAATGCATTGACAGAAAATTCAATACATCTAATATCTTTTTGATCTTTTGATATGATATTCATTGCGATAAGAACATTAACGGCAACACAGACACGGTGACGAATATTTTTTTGTACATAAGCCTAGAAAAACAAATTGCTTAACTAATACCCATCATATAACTCAAAACATAAAAATATACACGATGTGGTGATTGAATGAGAACGGATGCTGTATCTGGAGTTCTTGGGTCAGTTGTAATAATTGTGGCTTTGGAGCCAGTTATAGGACTCATCGCTCAAGGATTGCTTCAAATGCAAACGACTACAACTATACCCAAAACACCGCTACCACATGAGAAAAAAACGAATAGTATTGGTGCCAGTTTGATGCAATTAGAGGATCAGACAACAAAACGAAAGTTAAATTTAAAAGAAATGGATGAAACGAAACAATGAAAACTGAATCGTGAAGAAGAATACAAGGGTGTGATCAGAGGACTGAAGAATATTCATTCTGTCACGAGACTTTAAAAACTATTAGACGCCATACCTATTTCACATTAAAGGCTCGCATTAAATGGGACAAGATCATTTGTTTTCTTTTGGGCTACTTAAATACACTTCCAGAACTTCGTTTTATGCTCATTCGATAGAGAATTGAGTTCTCTCCAAAACCCGCTATGTCAATCTCTGATAGCATTTTTGAAAAATATGTGGGGAGGATGCAGATTTTTCCGATGAATCTTCTGATGTTTTCAAAATTCTTCTGGAATCTGTTTTTGGATCAAAGATTTTTCTATTTTCGGTGTGTCGCAGTCCGACAACTCAGCACCATTCAATATTTTGACTGGCACTCAAACAAGAAAGATGCTATCGGAGATTGACATAGGGGATTTTGGAGAGAATTGAATTCTCTATCGAATGAGCATAAAACAAAGTTCTGGAAGTGTATTTAAGTAGGCCAAAAGTAAGAAAATGATCTTGCCCCATTTAATGTGAGCCACCCGTTATGAAAGAAGTCTAATAATGATACACTAAAACGTTTTCCCCCAAGTTTCACATCGTATGATAGATTAAAGTATTCTGTATAACCTTATCACTGGGTTTAGTGCAAAAATGCGCTTCTGGAAGTCGATGGAAATAGATTTCCGTCTATACCGTGCAATTTGAACGAAGTGACCGGAATTACCCCAAAGCACATACAGGGTGTTGCAAAACCTTTACGCCCCCTGGTTCGACCTTAAGGTCAAATGATTTCACTAAGTATTTTATACCAAATTGAAGCCCGTAAAAAACTGCATCGATGAGTGCAATTAGACCAAATATTGCCTATTACATTATTAAAAGATCTTACACTATATATCAAAATGTCATAGATCCTATAATGTCGAATATATGAAAAAACGATCATCAGTACCGTTCTCAGAAAACTAACATACGATGTTAGTAATTTTATTGCATATATAGGTAGTCCGGACGTTACTCTACAAGATTATGCAAGTCGCAGCTCTCCAACTATGGTCGTTCGGACAGGGCTTGCTTTCCCCGAGCACGTGTCTATCTCCGAGTAGATATCTCTGGGAACCTGGAAATGCCATGAAATATAGGTAATCGACTACGCTGAGCATAGTGACAACATTTGTTTTTGTGTAGGAATGAAAATAACTTCGCTAGAGGCATTTTTGTGAAAAAACGGTTTTTCGTCTATTAAAGACTTAAAAGGCACCATATATTGTTGATCAAGCCGAAAAAGTAATCCAGCAGAACACTAAGCCTTTGGAGTTTTTCAGAAAGTTTCTGGGAAATCTGAAACGAATACCCAGCTGAAATTCACCTTTTTCGTCTTTGATTAAGATTTATGAGGTGTCCTGAGCGTTTCCTGAAAATTTCCTTGATTCAGCATGAGATTTGAGCGAGATATAAGGATTTTAATTTTAGCTAGTAATAGGCGAAAAACCGTTTTTTCACAAAAATGCCTCTAGCGAAGTTATTTTCATTCCTACACAAAAAC